TTTTTCTTTGAATTCACCTCAACATGGTCGCTCTCCCCTGTCATGCTGGATTCGTCAATCTGCAGAGAATGTCCATCCAAGAACAACCCATCAGCTGGAACCTGATCTCCGATTTTCAGGCAAACAATATCTCCGACCACGATCTCAAATATTGAAATATTTTGCCGCCTGCCGCCTCTGATGACATCAATTTGGATGTTGTTGCTGACTTTAGACAATTTGTCGAACTGTCTGTTCTGTCTGTAGTTGCTGATGGCAGAGACGCTAATGACCAGAAAAACAGCCACGAAAATACTCCCACCATCATACCAACCGTCTTTCAAGCCATGCTCCTTGATGCCAAAACCAAGAGAAAGTGCGGCGCAGCCGAGTAGGATCAAAATTATGAGATCCTTGAAAGCTTCCACCACAAAATGGAAGAAACTCTTAGATGGCGGTCTTTTGTAGATGTTAGAACCAAATGCTTCACGTCGGCGAGCAATGTCCTCAGCACCGCCATTGATTCCACTATTCAGGCTGGTTTGCAGGGATGAAGCCACCCCATTCACTCCCCCAATTATTTGAAGCTTCTCAAGCCTTTTCTCCTTCACAATGTCGGTGAGAGTGGTCTCATTAATTTTGAAACAACCATTTTCTGGTGGAACTGTTAGAATAACATGATCAAGAATTAGCGAAACCTTGGAATCATGATTCCTGACGAGAGAAAACAGAGTTCTTGAGCAGTAGATGGTGACAAAAGCCAAATGCCATTTTTTGCTGTATTTATTGAGGGAGGCAGGCCGAGCATCGAGCAAATGGTCAGTGGAGATTATGTGTGCTTTGTTGAGAATAGCAGTCATGAATATGGATAAGCAAAGAACAAGAATAATGTATATATATACGATGAAAAAAGAAGAAAAAAAATCTTTTCTGCGAATCAAAGAGAAAGAATCAAATTACCAACAGAGCATGAAGTTAGTTGACAAAAAGAAAGAATTCAAATAACAACAGAGCATGAAGTTGTGGACAATTTGATGAAAGAATAGGATGTGCCTTAAATCATTTATATGTTGGGAATTTCGAACACCACAATCCCACACAAACGAAAGGGATAAAGAAATTGAGACAACAATTTAATGTGGTTCAACTTATACACCTCTCAACAAGTCTACGTCCACGGGAAAAAGAGAAATAAATCCACTATTAAGAAAAAGAGTACAATAATTTGGAAGTTCTTTCACTTATGAAGCTCTCAACCCCTAGCTTCAGTCTATAGAAACTCTCAAATTCTCCCTAATACTCTCTCTTAATCTACACAAAGATTTCTACAATTTCTCTCTTTCTTTTCTCTCACAAGAGCTCTCCCTCAATTTCTCTTGCTTTCTCCTACTCTTGCTTCCCCATTGCCTTTGCATGCATGGGTATTTATAGTGAAAAATCCAACTAGCCATGCACCATTTTTCTTTGCCTCATTACCATCCGGTCAATATTTTCTTTGCCCATTAAATGGATCAACATGCAATCTTTGAAAGATTTCAACAAATCAATCTAGCCCACAATTGGCTTATAGGCCGGTGAAGCAAACTTCCACATGAAAAATCCATGTGTTCACATGCATGGGGTTGGACTTTCTTCCAACATTATATACTTCTTAAAAGATCCGTGTTTTGTCATGTTGAAGATATGGAAGGAAGCTGCACTCCTGCTTCCGAAAAACGTTTATGAAAAGGAATTAGATAGAAAATCTTAGTAGGTTTCCTACCTTTTACAGATATGAGATATGGACGGATGCGCTGGCTATTAAAGGATTCAACAGCGGCTACTTTGTGTTTGCATTACCGTTGGCGTTGTGTTTTGGTATCGGAAAAGAGTTAATATATATGGGCCCCGGAGTGGGTAGTGTGACATGGGTTTCTTTTTTTGGTACAAGAATTCTTTCCTTCATACAAGGAGAATGAATCCTATACCATGGATAGAGTAAAGAAAACATAGTAATAAAAAATCCATATGAAAAGTGAGGTTGGTTTTGTTGGTGTTCCTATGCCTTTAGATTACTCAATTGCCATTTTAGTTATTAAAAAAATTAATCTTAGATCCGACGTACGAAGTTTTTCTTTTTTAAATAATGGAGACGCGCATGGGATGCTTCCAGTTTTTGAGGTCGAAGATGCTGAGATATATACGACGATATAGATCAAATTCCGTTTAAGATCGTCGGTTCCTTCCATTTTTTTGCCTAGAATATTTCGCAAAAAATAAATTCGATAACATATTCGCCGAGCGCTAGCATGGTGGTTAAGGCATTTTTTTTATTCTTTTATTCTTTTTCTTTAATGTTGACCGGTGGTGCATGATGATGTTATTTTCTTTCCGCTCTCATCAATGACGACATGACGTTATGTATTCTGAAAAGATTCAGAAGGAAATGCAATGTTTAAGGGAAAACCTGCGTATTCTGTTTAAAATTGTCCATATTAAAGAAAATTATTATTAAAAAAAAATTAATGTAATTTATTTTTATTTTTAAAAAATTAATTTATATTTAATAATTATTATTAATTTCTTATTAATTTCTAAAAATAATAACTTAATAAATTTTAATTGATTCTATAAAAATAAAAATTTAAGATGACGAATTGTATCTTTTTTTATAACTATTTATTTCAACACAATAATTTTAAAAGATAATTTATATATTTGGCTTTATTTAAGACGTAAAGCACGTCTGGCATGGTGATTCCAGATAGTATTTGTAATTTAGCACAAATTATTATATGATTGGTATTTGATAAAATTTTTTATTTTTAATCTATTAATTAAAAATTAGATATTTAATAATATTTTTATTTAGCAATCTAAAGGTAAAGAATAATGGTTAAAGTTTAATATATAATGAATTGAAAAAAATTACTTGAGCCACTTAAAATAATTTTTTTATCAAACTACTAATGAATTAAAATTTTTTATTTTATTATCCATTTTAGTTTTCAAATTTGTGTCTCAATCTTTAATTATTAAGAGGTCGTTCGACACATCAGAAAACAATTTCGTCTGAATTTTCTGATGTTTGAATACCCCTTAAAACTTGCGGCAATGGAAATAAACTTTTCGTCGAAGAAAAGTCAAAAGAGTTGACTTCCGCATTTGAAATGCGGAAGTTAAGTTCTCAGAAAAAAACGCAGGCCGTTCAGTCCGAAATATTTGTCAAACAAAATCGCCGGAATTGTCATGTGTCTAAACTTTTGCTAAATTTAAGTCCTCTTAATTTATTGAGCAATGTAAACGAGTCCTATTATTCTTCATAGTGTTTTTTTGGTATTAATGCCCAATATCCAAAAACTACATTAAACCTCTACTATCCCAAGCATAGGTTTCGGGAATGACTTCCTCAAGAATAAGAAACTGTAAAGGAAAGGAATTTCTTTTCCAAAGTTTAGAACTTTTTGGTTCCTTCCTGGTCATCATCATTATTCTTTGACAACATGATAATGCTATAATTATAATATTATATAAAATTATAAATTTATAATTATAACATGTTATTAAATAATTTATAAATACACATAATATTACATATGAATCTTTAAATAAAAAGTCAATCGTATGATGATATATTATAATTATACACTTTTCCTATTACCAGTATTTACATTTAAATGCAAAAAATACAGCAACAAGTTTTGAATCAAAAGAAGTAGAAATTGACAACTAAAAAGGTATATCTTAACTTAGAAATTGTGATAACCGAAGGAGAGGAAGGAGGGACTCTTAATTAAGAGGATTGATTTCTTTAAACGATTAAGGTTTTTTTTTTTTACCTAATTTGTATGTACATCCTTATTAATTCTCATTCACTAACCTTTAAGGATATATTTCTACGTCAACTTAATCCATTCAAGAAAACTAAATTTCTTTATAATTTTAAGATTTATACCACAAACTTGATTTACAAAACACCACTTATTTACTAATTAATACAAATTACAAGCCTCGGGGTTATAAGAAGGGTATTAGGATGATTATCTTAAATCAACCAACCTCAATCGAATGTGACACAGAATTCCCAACATGTAAAGTCTCCATGTGAACGAATGGAGAAATTACCTCTAGAATCTTCCTTAAAAGTAAGGCTTTGGGTGGTTTGAAAGGGAAGATACCTCCTAACTTGAATTTAAATAAGGGTGGTAATTTCGGCAAAAGCCTAAGAATAACCCCTTACCTTGATAAGTTGGACGGTTTTGGCCCCTCACCTTATAACATAACAGTTTTAGCCCATAACCTATAAGAATGGAAGAAAATAGCCCCTTTTTGTAACTTCCGTTTGTTGGGCTTACCGTCCGTCACTTCGCCGTCCATTTCTCCGTTATTTTTCCGTTAACTTTCTCAAAGTTTCTCCAAGAAGCCTATTGCAATTTTTTTTTGGGAATTCAAACCTTTTTTTTTTTTTTTTGAGAATTCTAATATTTTTTTTTAC